CGTTTGAACCTTCTGTAATAGTTGCATATGAGTCCCTCAGTTGTCCTCAGTGTGAAAAGATGGATCTCAAAATCATACAGTCATTGTTGGAAAGGGTTCAAATACACAAAAATGCTGGAAAACCCAAACATTTGTGGGACCTGAAGGATTTTTCTGAAGAACAGCAGACAGTTTAACTGTTCAGGACAAACAAGAGACTCATGAACAACTATCACTAAACAAAAAAAAAAACACAGCTGTGGATCATTCAAGTAAGAACACAGTATTAAGAATCAAGGGTAAACTTTTGAACAGGGTCACTTTTATAAATTCCACCATTATTTTCTCTTGTGGACTATATGTAAACATCTTTTATGTGAAATATCTTATTCAGGTCAGTACGAAATAAACAATAACATGCATTTTGTATGATCCCTCTTATTTTGGTAAAATAATTAACATTTTGCAGATTCTGAAGAGCGAAGAGCGGGAATACAAGCTCAAAAAATATGTATTGGTATATTGAAACTAAAATTTCATTATGCTTTTTTCTGCCAAATTATATTTTGTACAGTATATTCTTTTTTATAGTGTCCTTAAAAGTGGTCATGTTTAGGTTTGGGGCTAGGGTTAAGTGATCTAAAATACAGGTGCATCTCAATAAATTAGAATGTCATGGAAAAGCTATTAAGAAGAGTATATTAAGAATGACAGTAGTGTGAACCTGTATGATGCAGATGGGCTGTCCTCACTGTACAGAGTAAGAGACCATGCAAACAGAAAGAAAAGATGAAGGAGTTGAGAGGGTGTTTTAGAGAAAAGACAGGCAGTACTATACCACGCAGTGTCTCTGAAGTAATGTACTAGATGCTCCACTCCTTTTTCCAGAGTTTGGGAGAGGCAGAAGGAGAGAAACAATAAGGAAAAATCAGTCAATAAAAGATTTAAACAGATGGCAGGGGCCGAACAGGAAGCGACATCAGCACACAAGACAAACAACACAAAGGCAAACGTTTTACTATAACGATATATAAAAAAAAAAAAAGAATTGCAAAAACTGAACAGCCCATTCAGCCATGACAGTGATCAAGGTTTTGTGCTTCACATGACATGGATGAAAGCAAAAAAAAAATGCATTCAGGTCCATGCTCAACTAAAAATAGGCAGAATTTAGATTCTGTCTGGACAGCTCAATCTAAGCACACTACCAAAGACAGAGACTGAATATGTGTGTCTTAAAGTCGAGAAACAATTATTAGCAGTCATTCTGGCTTCACCATAGGTTACATGCACTTTCAGTTTCCTTAAATATGATGGCAGCTACTGTATGATGGGTTACTACACAGCTGATCCTTTACTCATCCTCATGTTGTTCCAAAAAAAATTTAAAAATAAAATAAATGCTTCCATATTATTTATTTTTTCCATGAAGCACAAAAATAGATGCTTAGCAGAATGTCCAAGTTGCTCCTTTGTTTACAATGAAAGCATTGAGGCTGTCAAGTATCACAAAATAGTCAAAATGACTCTACTCTTCTGAAGCCATGCAACATGTTTTATGAGGAACAAAGACTGAAGGGTTACTTTCTGAAGATTCACTGAAAATCTGCTGTAGCTCTTGAATCACAATTTGCATACATTCAAACTTGACATCTCAAGGTGAGTTTCATCAAGTTACATCTTTGTTTTTCATGTGTTACGATCAAATATCTTGTGTCTCATGAACGACTGCATTAACACGATTTGAGAGCAGCAAAGGACAACGTTTTCAATGAATACATGTTTATATTTTGGGCAGTTCCTCAAAAAAGCTATTGTATGACTGAAAGAAAAATTTGGAACGACATAAGGGAGAGTAAATGATCAAATTAACATTTTGGAGTCAACGATTCTTTCCTTACAGGATCTGACTCACAACTGCATATTTTCAATGAAAAAAGATGACAAAACCAGATATCTCATAAGATGTGCTCTTTTGAAAACAATCAATCAGCTCCGATCTTCTAGGAAAGTCGGTTGAGGGACAAAAAGTACAGGACAAATTAATTAAATGGGAGTATGATGACTGTCTGGCTTTACAGACAGTCATCATAAGAACTGTATAGAAAAAAATAATAATAATGAGGTCTGCAGACTTCAAACCAAGCAGACAAACAGGGGACATAAGGACAATGAAACTAAAAGGAGAGCAAATGATGGACTGATTCTGCACTAGAATGTGACTGGATGGTGGATTTGTGTGCATGACTCAAGGGGGCACAAGGGAGAGGCAGGCGGACATGCAGCAAGCACTGGGGCTAGTGCACAGACTGGTTCGCTTGGTTAAGGACTCACTCTGTCTGTGGTGACGTGGTGCACATGGCTGCACACTCCCCCGCTGTGAGTGTTGCCAAGAGGAGAGTATAGGGGCAAGCAAAATGCCCTGTACAGAGGAAGAGAAAGAGAAATGCTGATCCCAGCACCATACATACACACACACACACACATATGATACACAAAGTTAGATGATCGTTTATCTCTCAGTCTTAGTGCCAGAACAGGGGGGAAAAAAGCTGTAATTAGATTCACACATTAACTACTTTCCTTTTTGACTGTCCCGTTACATACCTGGCAAACTCTGATAAATCCAGAAATTTCATCTTGAAAAGTGCACAGAATAGCATTTTGTCATTTTTATGTGCAATATGCATCATGCTGTTCATTGAGGCCTGTGTTGGAATAAGGGAACTGTTTCAAAATGGGCAACCAAAGGCAAATTTCCAAATTTAAATTCTCAACCAAAGTATGCCTGATATCGCCCAAGAAAACACCTTTCTATACCATGTATAGAAACTTCTAATGGTGTGTTCACATTGACAGTGATCTGCAGTGATGAAGTGAAACAGTCATTCATTTTCAATGAGAAGGCAACATGGTGCAGCAGCCGACAATGTAAGTGAAGTGAGTGTAGCTCATGTGATCGTCACAATGTAAATAGTACATAGAACCTAATATACCCAACACTATAGTGATAAAGCTGCCCTGTTCATGTTTTCTATCTCTGCATGTATACTACTTACATTATGTGCCTTCCACAAGGTTTGAGTATCTTTGTCCTGGTGCTCCGGTGACTCCTTGTTAGACTCTGAGCCCTGCAAGCAGCGGCACTGCATATCCTCTACCGGAGAAGACTATGAAAATTAAAAATAAAATGCTCATGTACAGCCACATAAAACAGTAAAATTAACAGCATACAAATGACACAATGGTCTCATCACATTTGGTTGGTTTTTCCAGGGAACTCTCAATAGGTTACAACACACATCACAATAACCCAAAATCAAATTAATAAATTTAGCAATTTAAAAAAAGAATCTTGTTTTAACAGTTAAGCTGTTTTGTATTGTAACAATATGACAATTATAACAATTATGGTATTTAAGCAAAAATTATATATTATGTATACAATATGAGGTAGAATCTAATGAGAATCATCACTGATTACAAATTACAAAAATATAAATAAATAGAATAAAAATGTGTTAAATGAAAATGTCACAATGCAAAAAATATGATTACATAAAATTTAAATCTATCTTTGCCTAAAATTAGCTTTAGTTTTTCATATAACATATGTAAGTATGAAAGACAAACTCCTACACACACACACAAATTCAAACTAGAGAAATAATGAATTATGAGAAAATTCAAATGATTAAGAAAGGATCTGATTTTGGAGTTCATGTACAAAATCTCATTTGGCAACAATTTTTCATTGCATGCCTGCCAATGTAATTTCCTAACATAAAATATTCACTCTTGTTGCTTTGATAAGAAACTGTTTAAATATATAAACACAGCTTCTGCATGCAAGAATTAGATTTTGTAATTAATAATAAGTTAAACACTGCCTGTTTTAAAACAGATTAATTTATATTTAGTAGTAACATATTACAGTAGCTAAAAGAATCATTTTGGTGCATCACTAATAGGACACTTACAGTGTAAGAATGTGCAGGGAGACTTCAGATATAATGCTGACTTGTTAAGAAATATTAACTATTAATATAATATTAATGAAATCATGGTTCAACGGCTTCACTTGGTATGATGTCATGAGCATAGCATCTCAGCAGTAGAATGTGTCGGCATGGATGTGCATTGTCTACACTGGGTGTAGTTGTGCCTGGTCATAGTTTTAGTTGGTGCAACAGATGTAAATATTTCTAGGAAGGCTGGACGTAGCTAAGCCCATTGTAGGGCTTACACACCCAACTTTTTTTTACATCTAGCTGGTGTTATCGGTCCTGTGACTTAGGCCAAAGAGGGTCATGCCCTAATCCTGATAAACATGGCTTAACTTTTTACCTACAGATAAAAAATATGATATGCTGAAACTAGAGGGACCTAGACAATGCATTATTATGCTCAAAAAAGTCAAGAGCTCCGTTATCTACCGCATCCGGACTCTTTTTCAGCAATCGAAACCAATGCAAGTAACCGCTTGAAATTATTCAGATGCGTGTTTAAATTTCAGTCCCTTTTAAGGTGATTATTGGATTCTTTGGTGATTTTCAAAGGTTGTGGTTAAGTGCTGTGAAATACTGCCATTCTTTTCTATTCTCTCTCTTTTCCTTACTTTGTTTCATTCTGTGTGTATATGTTTTAGTTAGTTATATGTTAGATATAGTTTCATTTATTAAATCCCTTATATTCACAATGGATTGTCTCTGTTTGCTGCTCACAGTTCGAAGTCAATGAATGTGTGAACCCTTGCTACATTTTGCTAAATTACTGCTAGCACTGCACAAAGAAGGACAGTTTATTCTTCCGTGGCCAGAAAAATAAACATTCCTTGAATTGATAAATGATTATATTGTCTGCTCGGTGGATGGACAGATCAAATAATTGTAATATTGATTCTGCTACAGTTAATTCGAAGATATAATCTAAATATTTATTATGAATCATAACCAGTTATAATTCGTCATAAATATTTCCCTTTTTAGAGCTAATAAAATTTTTACATTTTGTAAACGTCTTTGTAAAATGTTTTATATTTAAGTAAGGACAATAACACAAGATCTTACCTTCTGATCAAGTAAAGATTGGTCAGTGGATGATGGAGTATTAGCCTCTAATGTATCTTCAGCTGAACTATCTGTCTCCATCTAAAACAAACAACATACAAAATCAATCTTGTAGTTCAGCAGTTGAGTCATCTGTTTTATTGTTAAAGTTGCTCAGTGTATGGAGGTGGTTACACTAGACTTTTTTGCTCCACTCACTGCAATTCATTTGTATGTGAATGTTGAAGACCAGGAAAAAAACAAGCTAATACAAAGTTCTGCATTCAGCTGCGTACAAAAGTTCAAGTTAGGTAAACTCTGACCTGCATCTCTGCACCCCTGAACTAGGCACTATGACAAGGAATAGCAAACCAGCCAGAAGTTAACAAGAGCAGGACATAGCTTCATAAGATGCATTTACTCTGACAGCACTTATATTACTGTAGATCATAGTGTCATTGTACTGCTGGCTGCTATTAGCCGTTCTACACTCCCTTTGGTAGACTCTTTACCTCTTGACCTCACTATTCAGTTGCAAGTCTCTGTCTAACTTTGAAGTTTTGCCAATAGTCACTGTCGCCTCAAATCACCAACTCCACCAATCAGTTTAAACGCCCTTTAGATAGCATGCTGGACTATGAAGCAATTAGCGCACATGCTCTGGCATACTGTGTTGTCTGTATTATTTGTCAGCCACATTACCCCAATATCTTCACACCAATTATTTTCTTTCTTCTCTTAACTATCTACTCATTTTAAGCCAACATGAAACTATAAGGTCAAAAAATATATAAATACGTATGCATATATTTTTTTATTTACCAATAAAAGAGATGTGAACGGTCCATTATTACTCTGTTTAATTGTAATGCATCTCTTGAGAAACTTTGAAAAGTTCTTTAATAAAAGTAATCTAAGAAATGAGCTGTATGACAATGTGAAAACATGATCAGGGCTGTCATTTTCTTGAATGAACACTGGACTGCTGTATTTGTATCCAACAATCAAACAAAAACTAATGTACTTGGGGGGGAAATCAGATTATTATTATTTTTTTTAAATACTCTCAGAGAATTGACAGGAGACTAATGGTGTTCACAGAAATATTTTGGAACAAAATCTTGTCCCCATGATGAAAAGCAATAGACAAAGAGGAGCCTTTTTTTCGGACTTATGTATGATCTCTCCATACTCCAATAACATCTTAGTCATCCTTTTATCCCTTCAAAAGCCTTCAAAGCCTTTAGGGTGACTGGAGGAGTTGTAACTCTCCTCTAAGGAGCTCTAGAACACGTCTCACCTATCAGAAATTATCTACAATCAGCTCTAAATAGAGACCGCTTGAGCTCATGTAGCTCAGAACAGGCTCAGAGTTAAAGCCATAGCTTTGTGGGCAGCGCTCTGGCAAAGTATAGCACTGATGTGCCTCAGATGAATCGAGTTCTAGTCCCCAGTTTGAGATCCTTTCCCTCTCTTCTCTCCATTGTCTTCTATCCATTGTCACTTTTAAAATAGATAGACCAGGCTCTGAGAAAAATAGTTGCTAAAATCATAAAAGTTAAATGGAGAGCAACAGAATGAAAAAGAACTCAGGGACACATCATCTTACAAATGCAGTGTTCATGGAGCAATACACTGAATAAGCACAGTCAGACGTTACATCTGCATTTATACACAGACCAACAAGTACTACATATTTGGAATTCCAAATTTTAGAGTGCTGACATTTCAACAGTTACTAGTTGCTAGCCATCCAATTCACCTCACTAATTGACTAGTCTGTTGTTGGACAGAAAGTTTTCAGAAAAGCTGGTCTAAGAATGCAGGTCTTCCCTTAGTGCTTCCTAGTATAAGGCACTTAAAAAATCTATTTGTCCACTATCCAAACTGCTTATCCACTTTACACTGTGTTTACTTTGAATGTGAGTAGTGCAACACAACGCGAATGATCAGTAGAACCATACTAAACAGTGATTCTGTCTGCACTGGATGTGGCGCAGTGGGACGCGACAAATCCCTAACAGTAAACTGATGCCCTATTCTATTTCTATAACTGCAAGTGAGTGCGCTACTTTTGACATGAAGGACAAATTAATTTACAACAGTGAGTTACTTTGTCGCATCCAGTGTAGACATGTTCTAGTTGTTGCAGTGTGATGTGACACGACAGCGGTCTCATTTGGTGTAGACACAGTTAGGGTCGTGGGGGGTTGGAGCCTACAGCTGGGCGATTTTTGCTATTCATTAGATGCTATTTACACTAAGAGGAAATAGCATATGTGACCCTGGACCACAAAATCAGTCATAAGGGACAATTTTTTTTAAATTGAGATTTGTACATCATCTGAAAGCTGAATAAATACAATTAAAATGTCCATTGATGTATGGTTTGTTAGGAAAGGACAATATTTGGTCGAGATACAACTATTTCAAAATCTGGAATCTGAGGGTACAAAAAAATTTAAAGTTGTGATGTGACACGACAGCGGTCTCATTTGGTGTAGACACAGTTAGGGTCGTGGGGGGTTGGAGCCTACAGCTGGGCGATTTTTGCTATTCATTAGATGCTATTTACACTAAGAGGAAATAGCATATGTGACCCTGGACCACAAAATCAGTCATAAGGGACAATTTTTTTGAAATTGAGATTTGTACATCATCTGAAAGCTGAATAAATACAATTAAAATGTCCATTGATGTATGGTTTGTTAGGAAAGGACAATATTTGGTCGAGATACAACTATTTCAAAATCTGGAATCTGAGGGTACAAAAAAATGTAAAGTGGTCATATGATGATGCTAAAAATAACATTATTTTGTGTATTTGGTGTAATGAAATGTGTTTATGCGGTTTAAGGTTAAAAAAGCACATTATTTTCCACATACTGTACATTATTGTTTCTCCTCCATGCCCGGGCTTTCTGAAAAGCGTCAATTTTTACAAAACTCATCGGTCTGAAAAGCGAGGTGTGCTCTGATTGGCCAGCTATCCAGTGCGTTGTGATTGGCCGAATACCTCAAGCGTGTGACAGAAATGTTACGCGTGCGTTGTGATTGGATGCCCTGTCCGGCCGGAGCGACGAGACAAAAACATGAAAACCCATTATAAACGAGGCATTTGTTGCATCCAATGGGGACATAATTATGGATTATAATGACTTATACTGTCTTTTTACGTGTTGCATCGCGCCGTGTAAACATAAAACCATGTCTGCATTTGTGATCTGAGAAATGACAAACAACAAGCGCTACTCTACACTGCTTAAGACGTATTTCCTCAGTGACCAGCATGGATCAGCTCTAGGTATGACGAAGCGGATATCGTCCTCTTTTTTGGAAGGCCAAAGTATTTTCGCTTTCACAACGAAACAGACAACGCCTTCACAACATGGCGGCAGCAACAATACTACAGCGAGAATAAAAGTTACACCTTTTTTTGCATGAACATTTGGGTGGCGTTATGCAAATCTTCCCACATCGTGAAGTAGACAGTGTTAGAACGAGCCGTTTTAGGTAGGCGTGGTTGACTCTTAACTTTTATAAAGAATATCTCTTTTGATTTGTGACTTTAGTCTTTGCAACTTTACAGATCTTCTTTATGCACCAAGAGCTTGTAACACTTCAAAGATAAAGGAAAAATTGAAATCGCATCATATGACCCCTTTAAACAGAGAAAATCGCCTTTAAAGTTGTCCAAATGAAGCTCTTAGCAATGCATATTACAATCAAAAATTAAGTTTTGATATATTTATGGTAGGGAATTTACAAAATATCTTCATGGAACATGATCTTTACTTAAAACCCCTTAACTGTCACCGTCCCACCTGTGGGACGCTTGGCACTCTTTTTGTTGTCCTTTTTCTCTATCAAATCTTTTGGTAATCATCATAAATCATATATCATTTGAAAGCTTAGACGCCCAAGATTCATCCTGTGAAAACCATTTTGAAATCAGACATTGCGTTACCATGGAAATGGTACTTTAAAATATTTTGTCGGTCTCCTCCCCCTTAGTGGCCGGTGTCAAGTGTCATATTACAAAATGCATTACGCTCTTTTACAATCAAAACTTTTTATAATCTTGACAAAAAACATATAATTGGAAAGGTCTGAGTCTCAGGATTATTTTGAGATAGCCATAATATTGACAGAGAAATCTAGACATTTGTGACAGAAAAATGCATAAAACATTTTTCAGAGTTTGGATGGCACCCGGTGGCTGTTTGTGGTATAACGCCCTAAATAAAATCTCACAGGAACCTCATTTTGTTTTCATATCAACTTCAAATTTGGAACATAATTTATTTAGACATAAGGCTTTAATTTTATACCAATTTTTGAGTAAAACTTGGTATGCAAAATATGTATTATATGTAAAATAAAATAAAATGAATATAATGCATTTTCTTTACAGTAAATTTAAACTACCATAACTTTTTGATACTTAAATATTATTTTTTTTACTTTTGCGATAATTTGCTGATTTTCTTCTTTAAAAAGAGACCAAATTTATGTCTGTATTCCAAAGTGTTCATTAATTACAACAATTTAAGTTTGGATAGTGCACCTGCATATCCTAATGATTTTTGGCATAGAATAAAATCGATAATTTTGACGCATACAATGCATTTTTTGCTATTGCAACAAATATACCCGTGCTACTTATGACTGGTTTTGTGGTCCAGGGTCACATATTTTCTTAGTAATACATGTTATTTACACTAAATGCAAATAGAAATGCAGTATTATTAGAGATATGCTATTTACAGTACATTAAGTGCAAATAATGATAGATTCTATTTACCCTAGGTAAAAATAGCAGCATTTTCTTTGCAATACGTGTAAATAGTAGATGCTGTTTATATTCACTGTAAAAATGGCAAATATTTACACCTCATTATTGTAGTACATTATAAAACAGTATGCAGTTATAATATGTTGAGTATAAATTATTATATTTCTTAAAATTACTAAATGGATGCTGCCCATACATTGCAGCATTAATCCAGGCCATCAAGTTAAATGTTATTTGTGCATTCCTGAAAAATGAGGATCTGAGCTCTGAGGAAGGAAAGACAAAAGTGTCTCATTGGAGACTCATAAATCATAAGGGTCGCATTACACTGTGAGAGCATGATTTGACTATGTAAATAAAAACCTGTTGATGGCTCTGGCAAAGTCAATCACAGTTGATAAATAAATGTGCAGAAAATTAAAAGAACACAATCAAATAAGTTATGATTACATTACAGCACACTGGAAAAGATTGAATTACAATTTCATTGGGAAAGTTTAAATTATCTTATCTTAACTTTTCCTTTAAATTAAGGTAATATGAGCTGAACTGACCAGTTTTATAATGAAAACACAATGACATTATGTTTGTACTTCTGGGCTCGTATTCACAAAACATTTTATCTCACCACTAAGAGTTCTCCTAAATAGCAGTAAAAGTTTTTAGCTAAGAGGTTTATCTTACAACCTATTCACAAAGCTGCTGAGACAAACTTTTACTAAGGAATAGAGAGAAGTCTTAAGCTAAGAGCAAGGACGGGGTTGACCTTGTTGCTATGGATGATGTCAACTATGCACACAGTGATTGGCTGATAGTGGAGGGGTCTCTGTTTTTGTCTCTGTATTTACTTATAGAAATATTGTAGAGTGTGATATTATGTTGACATATTCAAATAAAGGTTTAAAAATGCAGACTAAGTGTCACTAACGTAAAAGAAAACCAAACTGGACGCAAGAACAGCTGTTACTTCTTGCCCAACTGGTTAATGAAAACAAGGATATAATCAAAGGAAAATCTAGAGTTGGGATTACCTCCAAAACCAAAGGTGACACCTTTTTAAAAGCACATTATCGTCAAATGTTTCTAAAAATGTTTACGTTCCGAGGCAGATTGCCGGCAACAGCCACTGTAGGATAATTTGTCGTTTGGTCTTAGTGACTTCGGAGTCCTCTTCACTACTCAACATTTCACAGATTTAGGAGCTACTTTTAGAGCTAAAACGATTTGTGAAATACTCAGAGCAAAAATTTAGGAATCCTAAATTTAGGACTGACATGCCCATTATTTATACAAATGTTCTCCTAAATCGACGAGTTATGAGCTACTTTTAACCTTAAGATGTTTTGTAAATAGTTCTGCTCTTTTGCACTGTTAACGCCTGTTCACACCAATGAAGATAGCTATAAAGATAACAATGTAGCGTCTGGACCAATCAGACACACCATTTTTCATTTGATTTAACAAATCAATTATTCATTAGATTAACAAACATTCACAAAGCCCCGCACTAGGGACCCGCCCAGAGTCGGTGGTTCGGTTAGATTCTAAGATGAAGACATGAGCTAGAATGCTTCTGCAACTCTAAGTACGTGCCAGGCTTCGGCCTTGACCTTTCCATTCAATATTTCCCTTAACCAGGAAATTAATGTTCTTAGAATTGACAGACAGTTGACCCTGAGAGGTCAGCTAAATATCTACAGCAGATCTAAATATTTATAATTAATTATAACTAGTTATGATTAATTATTCATATTTCCCCGTGAGCTGATTCGCTACAATGATAAAGATATAGTTTTAAAAATCATTCTCAATATTAAAGAATAGCAGAGTCCACACCACAGCTATAACAATAAAGGCACAGAGAAATTATATTGTTGGAATCACTTTAGGAAAGATTTTTTTTCCAGCTGATGAACAATAAAAACACTGACACCCAATCAGAATCAATCCTGCTATAATGAGCTTGAGAATTCAAAGCGGCTGATGAGTATGCACTTATAAACAGACGATATCATCCGCTGGTGTGGACGCTAATATAGTTCTTTATAGTTACTGTTCTTAGTGTGAACAGGCCTTTACACATAAGTAGACAAAAGGTTATTTGCATTACAGTGTTTTCTTAGACAAAAACGATTAGTTAAAGTGCAGTGTAGTCATGAGAACCAGACTGAAAAACTTGTGTGCAATCCCTGGTTACATATGGAAAAATGTGTTTGTATCTAACCTGAAGCAGTGTCTTCAGTAGAAACAGCTGTTCTTTGACAGAAGAGCAGTCTTGAGTCATGAGTTTCAGAGTCAACTCATCCAATGTCACATGGTCTGACCTCTCCAGCCCCTGTTCCTTGCGCCCATCAAACGATTGCAAAATGCCACTTCTGTAGGTCAGACAGAAAGAAAGCGATCACAGAACATGTGCCAGATCAGCCAGAGGCCTCAACCTGCAAAATAAAGCTTTAGACAGGCCAACAATGCTGAGTTGACAGCCATGTAATCCAGAATCTCTCTGAATCTGGATATATAGGGCAAGCAGGGGCTCTGCCGAAAATGTGGCTTTGAGGATTTGAGAATGAAGCGATAGAGGCAAAGGACAGTTGTGTTCAGTGAAGTTTAAAGTTCTCATGTGCAGTGACTTTTCAGTGTCTATGATTATTCATGTTCAGATTTAATGCAACATGTGAATTTAGACATGCAGCAAAGAGACAAATTTGCCTTGTTAATCATATAAAACAGACACTGATGCACTTGTGGAGACTAAAGGCTGAAAACTGGAACCATAAATGACAAAATTTCAGAATAAAGACAGTTATAATATATGTATATATATATATATACAGTGGTGTGAAAAAGTGTTGGCCCCCTTCCTGATTTCTTATTTTTTTGCATGTTTGTCACACTTTAATGTTTCAGATCATCAAACAAATTTAAATATTAGTCAAAGATAACACAAGTAAACACAACATGCAGTTTTTAAATGAAGGTTTTTATTATTAAGGGGAAACAAATCCAAAACTACATGGCCCTGTGTGAAAAAGTGTTTGCCCCCTAAACCTAATAACTGGTTGGGCCACCCTTAGCAGCAACAACTGCAATCAAGCGTTTGCGATAACTTGCAATGAGTCTGTTACAGCGCTGTGGAGGAATTTTGGTCCACTCATCTTTGCAGAATTGTTGTAATTCAGCCACATTGGAGGGTTTTCGAGCATGAATTCCTTTTTAAGGTCATGCCACAGCATCTCAATAGGATTCAGGTCAGGACTTTGACTAGGCCACTCCAAAGTATTAATTTTGTTTTTCTTCAGCCATTCAGAGGTGGACTTGCTGGTGTGTTTTGGATCATTGTCCTGCTGCAGAACCCAAGTTCGCTTCAGCTTGAGGTCACGAACAGATGGCCGGACATTCTCCTTCAGGATTTTTTGGTAAACAGCAGAATTCATGATCCCATTTATCACAGCAAGTCTTCCAGGTTAATAATAAAAACCTTCATTTAAAAACTGCATGTTGTGTTTACTTGTGTTATCTTTGACCAATATTTAAATTTGTTTGATGATCTGAAACACTAAAGTGTGACAAACATGCAAAAAAATAAGAAATCAGGAAGGGGGCCAACACTTTTTTCACACCACTCTGTGTGTGTGTGTGTGTGTGTGTGTGTGTATATATTTGCTTATCTTTTTTAGGTTAGTTTTAACCTCCAATGGCTTAACGCCAGCCTACTAACAGTCTGTTCAAGGCTCATTGGAAAAATTTGACTTCAGTGGTTTACTATCACTAGTGTTAATTTCAACTGGAAACTGCAATGAATTGTATATATACTGTAGGTATGTTGAAAGGTATGCCATTGTTTAGTTTTTTCTGGCCTTAAACTCTTAGTCTCTTCCAAAGAAAAAAAGGTGTAAAATCGACCAGATTTTATGCTGAACGCCATTAGTTCAGATCTGTACTACTAAGTGTAGTACTAACCTGAAAAATATGACAATATAGTTGCTTACTTTTACACACTGTGATGAACACTGACACAGTTTACAACAATTTCACCAAACATCAAAATGCATGAACAAAAAGGTCACCTGTTTTTACGGCAGAACTGATCACGCCTGCCCCAGAGCTGCTGTCGTCTCCTCCTCTGAGTTGGCCAGCCATCTTTTTCAGAGCATTCATAAGGTGATGTCCCATCAGTGTCTACAACAGATAAGTACAGTACATCAGGAAGTAGTTTTGTGAGTGCTTTTGTGGGTGACTTCCAGAACATTTGTGCTTTCTAGAGTTTTGTGAGTTTGCTTACTGGCCCAAGTCAAACTCCTTTCTCTATGATATTTAGGTCTCTAGATATGGCTTGTGTCCCCTCCTGTAATATGAATCCATCGGATTTATTTGCCTGTTTTATCATTCACCAAGTAAGTCTAAGACAACATTAATATTGATAAACAGAAGGATAAACAAGACATACTATAAGGAAATACTGTACTGTATTTCATTCATTGGGTCAAACTATCAATAGTACAGGCATTGTTTGATATAGATATATACTGTATATATATATATATCTTTTTTTTTTTTTACTGAATAACCATAAAGGGATAGTTCAGCCAAAAATGAAAATTGTCATCATTTACTCATGCTTAAGTTGTAAAACTGTATGAATTTATTCTTCTGATAAATACATGGGAATAATTTCCTAAAATATGTGTAACCAAATATCTGATGGTCCCCACTGACATTCATAGTATTTCTTCCATACAATGAAAGTTAATGTGGACCGTTAACTGTTTGGTCACCCATATTCTTTGAAATATCTTCTTTTATGTTCAAAAGAAGAAAGAAATGCAAGCAGGTTTGGAATAGAGGTTGGCGATTAATCGGTTTAGCCGATTAATCGGCACCGATAGTTGATTGCCGGAACTATCGACTATCGGCAAAAATCCATGCCGATAGTTTTCCGGGTTGCGTCCGTTGCTTAAAGGGGTCATATGATGCGATTTAAATTTTTCCTTTCTCTTTGGAGTGTTACAAGCTCTTGGTGCATAAAGAAGGTCTGTAAAGTTGCAAAGACTAAAGTCTCAAATCCAAAGAGATATTCTTTATAAAAGTTAAGAGTCACCCACGCCTACCTAAAACGGCTCGTTCTAACACGCCCCCACATGTCTACGTCACGATGTGGGAAGATTTGCATAACGCCGCCCAAATGTTCACGCAAAGAAAGAAGGTGTAACTTTTATTCACGCTGTAGTATTGTTGTTGCCGCCACCGCCATGTCGTGAAGGCACTGTGTGTTTGTGTTCTGTGTGTTTCCTTGTGAAAGCTAAACTACTTTGTTTGGCCTTCCAAAAGAGGACGATATTCGCTTCATCATGCCTGGAGCTGATCCGTGCTGATCGCTGAGGAAATACATCAACTTCGCGTTGTGGATCGCCAGATCGGCTTTCATCGTGGACGAAGCGGAGTCCCGGGGTCGTCACATGTGGTTGCCGCAAGCTTGCCGCCGCGCCGTTCTCAAGCCCACCGGCCGCCGCTCACTCAAGCCGGCCGCCGCTAACTCTAGCCCCCGGCCTCTGCTCACTCTAGGTCTCCGGCCTCCACTCACTCTAGGCCACTGTGTGTGACGTTGTGTTTCATTGTGAAAGCGAAACTACTTTGTTTGGCCTTCCAAAAAGAGGACACGACTAGAAATCAGTGGTTAAGTTGTATTTACAACACTGTTTCAGAACAGTTCAACCCAAATATTCCGATGTGTCCAGAGCATTTTATGGAGGACTGTTTCCTGATCCTGGTAGAGTAGACTACAATGCCGGCTGTTCTGACTCACAGACTGTAAGTAAGTTTTTTATATATAAAGAATTTGCAGATCTGAGTGTAGAGTAGCATTTGTAGTTTGTCATTTCTCCGATCACAAATGCAGACATGGTTTTATGTTTACGCGATGCAATGCAACGCATAAAAAGACAGCATAAGTCATTATAATCCGTAATTATGTCCCCACTGGATGCAACAAATGCCTCGTTTATATTAGGTTTTAAGGTTTTTCTCTCATCGCTCAGGCCAGGACAAGGCATCACAATATGGCAAGGGGCGTAACATTTCCGTCACACGCTTGAGGTATTCGGCCAATCACAACGCACTGGATAGCTGGCCAATCAGAGCACACCTCACTTTTCAGACCGATGAGCTTTGTAAAAATCGACGCGTTTCAGAAAGGCGGGGCATAGAGGAGAAACAATAATGTACAGTATGTGGAAAATAATGTGTTTTTTTACCTTAAACCGCATAAACACATTTCATTACACCAAATACACAAAATAATGTTCTTTTTAGCAACATCATATGACCCCTTTATCCTGCTGAGAAGTGTAGGCAGAAATCACTGACACGTCGTATTGTTTATTTTGACACGTGAGGCTGCGTGCTGCACAGAGCGGAAACTTCAGTTGCGGATTTAAATGCAGCTGACAGAAAATCCTGCCTCGCCAGAGAGAGCCATTCACATAGCTTTCCATTAAATTACATTATATTTGTCCCAAATCATTGTTAACGTACATAACGACTTCAGATTGCACTTTCTCTTTTGAGTTTGCTTAGTTTTTTTTAAACACCAAACTTCAAACTCATACTTTGTTCATCCTCATGCTCAACTCATGCTATGGCTTTTGTGTAGATGTAGATGGCATGACTGCTGAAATAGTAACACTTTACAATAAGAGTCCATTTTTTAACATTAAAATGAATGAAAGCTGTATAAGTATTGTTCCTTGTTAGAGTATGTTCATTTCAACATTTACTATTACTAATCAATTTTAAAATTTTTCTGTACATTAGTTAATAAACTATGATCTTTACTAACTTTAATGATTAATATAATAATTAATTTTCATATTTTTTATTCATTTACAAAGTATGGTTCAGTACTGGTTTTTAAAAAAATAGAAAAGCATTATTTAATTTTTCATTCAGTATCCATTTTAAAAACTTGGATCCACTATTTAAAATATTGGGTGATTAATCGGTATCGTCCAGTGTGGTCCAACCTAGCTATCGGTATCAGTAAAATCCACTATCGGTTGACCTCTAGTTTGGAACAACTTAAGGGTTAGTGAATGATGACAGAATTTTCATTTCTGGCTGAACTATACCTTTAAGGAGAAATAAGAGCAGATCCACAAGTGAATTTACACTCCTACACGGACAGAACTACTGCCAGCTCTGTATTCAGTGTTCAGATACTGCTTTAGTAAATGCTCAAAGCTCACAATTCCACTAAAAACACAGGAGAATGACATCAAACTCTCTCTCATGTAAAAATAGCACAGTGATGGCATACAGTGGCGTACCGTATATCTGGGGTAAATCTGCATGAAAGTTTGTTGAGCCAGTCTTGAGTCAGTTTCCCTATATTTACATGTACTTAATTTAACAATATAAAAGCCTGAATTTGCATACAGTGGGGTATCAGTAGTTTATAAATTCAGCAAAATTCTTTATAGAAATACTTGTAAATATTTTTCATAACTGTTCAATGAGCCATACACAATTATTGCTCTTGCAGCTGTGGAACAGTCCTAAAGACACAAACTGTTTACAGGCCATAGGCAATTAAGGTCACAGTTGTAATAACTTAGGACCTTTCTGCTAACTCTAAAAAACACCAGAAGAAAGATGCCCAGGGTTCCTGCTCACCTGCGTGAACAAGCCATTGGCATGCTGCAGGGAGACATAAAGAGTGAATATGTGACCAGAGCAATAAACTGGCATATCTGTAATGAAAGACGTCTAAGACAGTGCTACAGGAAGACAGGAAGGACAGCTGATTGTTTTTGCACACATGTAACCCTGTGTCCCCCCAGATGTGATCAAGAATTTGCAAGTGGAAGAGTGGGTTACCACCCCCCACGAAATGAGAGGTGGTTTATTTATTTTTTATACCATCACTCACCGCTGTGTAAAGATGCATCTTCAGACAGGTCCAAATCCAACATGAGGTCCTCTTCCTCCAGGTCACATGACTCCACATTCTCCAGGTTGTCGAGAATGTCCTTAAATATAATATGTGAATAGAGAGTCATGCCAGGAGCCAAAATGAGAAGTGCAAACAAATTTAAGGATAAGGGTGGGTAATTTTAAAATGAGAAAGCAATGGGCAGAGTAGACTTCTCTGAAGGAGGAAGGAAGACAACTCATGCGTATTCAAGCGAGAAGCAGTTCTCATACATGATGGAAGTCACCTCCCCTCTCCACAACTCATCTCTCTCAGAGACGATTTAGTGCCAGCTGAGGACCTCTGTTAAATGACATTTCCCCATGACCGGCTATCTACTCACGGCATGACAATAGAGGAATACCCAGAAGGGAACAGGCGAAACATTGCAGGATAAAATGAGAGGTGTCTTGGAGTGGGCTGACTGTTTTTTATTTCATTGACAAATGATGACAACAATGTAAGTGTGAATCACACAAGTATAAATGTAAATTTCTCTTCAGACACACTACACAACAGAAAGGCTGAAAGCTTACATTTCATTCTTCTGTATTTTTTGCCCTTACCACCCATAAGACATTACCACTCTCAATATTGGATATTTTCAACTTACGCAGATTTCATGCAGATGCCTTAACTTTCCATACACTCCTTTCTCTGAACTCTTATCACCCAACTGTAAATTTTGTAACTCCCCCACTAATCTGAGACGGGATGGCGATTTGGTTTCAATTTTTAAAGAATGTTTTCAGCATCGGACTATACAAAGAACTACATTATAATTTCAAGATTACGCATACCATTTAACCTGTTGCTGGAAACCCTGCAGGCCATTTAAAATATACAGGTGTCTTTAGCCAGCTTACTTCTATTTCTTTTTTTTTTTTACATGTCATTGTTAATCAGCTCAAACCAGCTGGTTCACCCTTACATATAATTCCCCTACGGTTACTTAAACAAGTGTTCAATTTAGTGGGTCTGACACTTTTAAATTTGATTAATAAATGCCTTGAGTTAGGAGTTGTTCCTGACTATTTAAAACATGCCTCGGTACAACCCAGACTTAGAAGGCCTAATTAAGATTCTTCTGATTTATCAAATTTCAGACCCATTTCTAACCTTCCATTTTTAGCTAAATTTTTTTTGTTTTTTGCTAAAGTTTTTTGGTCGATTACAAAATCTTTGATACATTTCAATCAGGTTTTAGGAAATTTCATTTCACTGAGACAGCTCTTTTAAAAGTGTTCAATAATGTTCCTTTAGCTCAGTGGCTCTCAAAGTGTGGGGTGCGCCCGCCGGGTGGGGGGGGCACGAGTATTGCAGGGGGGGGGCGCGGGCCATCAGCAGAAAAAAGAAAATAATTAAAACAGTAAACAGCCAAAGGACGTAACTTAGAATGGGAGAGACCATAAATGAAGTCTATTATTCTCTCTATGCTATTTTTCAATGTCTCAAGTGATGCAGGTGTTTTTTTCCCTGTGTCACGGGTTCCCAGGCGAAGGAGCTTGAAGGAGTAAGAAGGAGGCAGATATCAAATAAACAGTCTTTTAATAAATCCACTTGGGAAAAACCAGGAGAAAACAACCTCTTTACATGACGGAGACAGGACAAAGAAACTGAGGAAAGGCAGGGCTATTTATACAAAACCAAACGATGGACTCATAAGATAATTAATGAACACAGGTGGAAACTAATGAACTAATCAAGCAACAAAGGAAAACTAGGTCAAGGCAGGGAGAACAGAAAAACACAACATACACGTGACACCCTGTGGGTTTTTGTTTTTATTATTATTAAAAAACAGAAATTTTTCATAATGTTTAGCGAAATTATTTGGTAGTCTGAGGTGGGGATTCAGGAAGGGGGGGGCGCCAGATTTTTTTTATAGGTTTAAACCCCCTTAACGCCCCCCGCGCGACCAAAAAAAGTTTGAGAACCACTGCTTTAGCTACCGACTCTGGGGATTCTGAAGCTCTGGTATACTTTTAGACTTGAGCGCTGCCTTTGACACTGTAGGCCACAAAGTTTTTCTGTACTGCTTAGAACAGCTGGTGGGCATTAGTGGTTCGGCCCTAAATTCATTCTAATCTATTTTACTAACAGTCTCAATCAAACATTGGCCATTTTCACTCTGGTACTGTCCCTCTGATCTGCGGGGTCACCCAAGGTTCTACGCTAGCTCCCATGTTATTTTCTCTCTATATGCTTCCACTTGGTTCCATCTTTGGTTTAGACCCTGTGGATGCTTGCCTCTTGGATGTTAAAGCATGAATGTCCCTAAATGTTAAAGTTTTTATTTAAATGTAATTTATTTAAATTTTTAAGTCTGAATGAGAGTTAAACAAAGAGTGTGGTGTTAACCCCTTCTGATTACCAAAGTATGCCAAACTTAAATCTTGGATTCTGGCATCTTATGTCAGGCCGTATGTGAAAAATCTGGGCGTTTTACTGGACAGTGCTTTAAAGTGTGATTGATTTAGGTTAAATTAATTTAGATTTAGATTAAACCATAAGGCTTGTATATTGTATCTCTATTTGGGGATCAGTCAATCTTCTCTAAACCATCTTCAAATGGTTCAAAATGCAGCTGTCAGAGTCCTAACAGAAGCTTGAAAGCATGAGCATATTAAACCTGTTTTATGGTCTTCACACTGGTTACGCATGCTCTATAGGATTAATTTTATATTGCTCTTATTGGTTTTTAAATCTTTAAATGGTTTAGCACCATTATACCTCTCTGACCACCAACCAGCAAGAGCTCTTAGGTCAGCCAATTTAAGGCTCTTAGTGGTTCCTAAAACAAGACTAAAGTCTAGGGGTGATTGAGCATTTGCCATAGCCGCTCCGAGACTTTGAAATAGTCTACCTATTTAAATCAGAACTTCTCCCACACTATCCATTTTTAAATCTAGGTGGCTTATTATCCATGATTTAAAACTGATTCACTCCATGGTTTGTGGTTTTATTTGGGACTTTGTCTCTGTCTCAATTCTGTTAATGGCTGTTATTTAATTTTGTTTTAACTGTGCTTTGCAAATAAACTGAGATTAAATTGAAATTGAATTTATAAAATAGCTTCAGAAATATGTACGTTTCTACACTGTCTATGTTACTACTCAGATAGGCAAGTTTGTGATTGATTATGCTGCGATAACATGGATTTATGGATTCCGTTTTCAATTGTGAAATGTATTCATTTTCAAATTAAACTGTTATGGACTTGTGGTTATGCAAAAATTGTGGTTATGCATAAATACAACATGTACCCATGTATCTCCTTCACCAGCATGGATATAAAAAATAATAATTATGACTCATTCTGCACTACAAAGTCTCGTTAGAAACGTCCCCTACATTATAAAATCACCTTGCCAAAGTCAACATTAATGAGTGAGAGAAATCAGCAAGTGTGAGTCATTGGTGTTTTTGGGTGCATCTTAATCAGCACTCTAGTTCAGCAGTCAAGGCACTGTTCAAGGAGTTGGCCATTTTAAGGGCTGTCTCAATAGCAAAATTCAACACATCTAGTTAACGTTTGCACGTTGACGTTGTACATAGTCACGTCACCGGAAATAGAGTGATCACTGTCCCAATGTGTAGTGAGCCAGGGTCCTTACCAGTGACCTACCTGTAGATTTGTGTACATGGCATACTGCTTCACGAGCTAGGGAGCTTATTGATAAGCAACCTTTGGCTCTTCTACCCCTAACCTTAAGTTGGTTGAATTAAATAGCTTGATTATCCTCCCTAAATTATAAATAACACCTACATCCTACTAAAGCTACATTTGAAATCAGTCACTTGTTCACTGCTTTACTATTTCCTTGAATAGTGCACTATATAGGACAGGTTTCTCAAATGAGGGGTTGTGAACCCCTTGGGGTTTATGAAAGAACTGCAGGGGGTTTGTAAGTTGACAAAAAGCTAATTAAAGGCAGTGTAGGGGATTCAGTTCAAAAACATTTTTTGTTATGCAGGTTGAAAGTCTCTTCACACCCTGATAGCAATCACTAAGTTAAGTTGTCTAAATGTATTTATGTCATCTGTGAAAAGCGTAGGACCATAAAATGTTCGTCCAATCATATCCCTCGGCCCGAGGGCTACAATAGGCTGTTCTACCTGCCTGTTAACCTATGTATTCACATACCTCTGTGCACCCTGTTTGCGCAAACATGATACGTCATCTGCCTGTTCCATTACACTATTGCAGACCGAGCAATAATGGAAGACGTTATTATTGTAATATAATGTGCTTTGTACTGTAATGTTTTCTCACTGGTGAATGAGACATGAGGTAATCTGGTAGCATTGCATTCAACCCTCCACCAATGCCATCTCTCATCGTGTCGCTGGTTAGCCTCTAGTCTGCCTGTACATGTGTTTTGGAGGAGAGTGATTTGCAGGGAGGGTGGGATCTTATGCTTTCAAATCTAGCTTGCTACTGCTAGCCTAGGAAATCACCTATAGGGCTGCAAGTCGCATAAAATTTGAAAGCATGATTTGGTTTGAATTGATTTTTGGAGTGAAGACACTTCTTCTGAGATGAAATGTTTATCATATCACAATCACCATACATAACAAAACAATCTTAATATATTTTAGAATATTTATATTGTAAATAAAAAACAAAGTAAAATAAATACAGTTACAGTGTAATTATACATTTAAGTACTGAGTAATATTAATTAACTACATGTACTTACTATATGGTTAGGGTTAGGATTAGGGTTTGGTTTAGGGTTACTTGCATGTAATTATGCATAATTTATTGTTATTATAATAGAAAGTGCATGTAACATATGTAACAAGGACACCTTAAAATAAAGTGTTACCAAATATTTCATGTGAAAATGGGTTTCAAAAAATGTTCAGGAACTAACAAAAAAAGTTCAGGAACCCCTGATATAGGGGATAGGGAGCAATTCAGAAAGTATAAATATACTTTAATTTGTGTTGAATTTGCTTTTGCTTAAATGCAATATCACACCTACAGTCGTGCGCAATGGCTCAATATCAGCATGAGACCTCGTGCTGCCAGTTAATCACAGTCGTGCTGAG